AAAAAAAAAAAAAAAAAAAAGAAAAAGGAAAAGAAAAGATCTAGATTTGAGTCCTAGCCCTGCCACTTTTCTGCTCTGTGTACTTGACCTCTCTGAGCTTCAGCTCCTTATCTATTAAAGGTAATGACCAGGTAATTGGGAAGATTACATAGCATCATATATTTGTAAGTCCCTTTCACTGTGCATGGCAAATTTAATATGTGAATCTGTCAGCAAATACAGTGTTTGTTGAGTAGTTTGTCTGCTGTCCATTGGATACTCTGCTCAATGTTGTGGCTGACTTTGGGCAGATCAGATGGGATTCAAAGGCCCGATTAAATATCACACATCTCTGGACCTCAGTTTTCTCTTCTATCAAACAAGGCCTTTGGTCTTGTAGACTAATGGCCCCTCCAGGTGCCACTTAGAAGTCCAAATCTGGGAGGAAGGTTAGGTCTTGAGACACATTTTTTTATTCCTTGCCTACCCCTTTCCAGGACCTCTACCTGAGAGCTCAGGTGCTTCTACAGAGCAAAGAGCATCAATCACTAGTCAGTGGTCAGTTCATCCCCGAGGAGAGTAAGTTGACTTTCATGGTCCATCATGATCCGGTTCTAACCTACCTTTATAATTGTATTTTCCACTGTTTCTCTTCCATTCACTATATAGTCTAGACAAATTGGATTACTTGTCCTTTTCTAAATATGCCCCCATGTTTTCCTGCTTCCAGCCTTTGTTCACACTGTTCTTACCACTAGAATATCTTCCACCGGTCAAAATCCTATTCATCTTTCAAATTTCACCCAATGACTATTTCCTCCAAGAAGTCATCCCAAATCCTTCTGTCATCTGTGTAGCTAGCTGGCTATCTATCTATCATCTATCTATCTATCTAATCCATCATTTATCTATCCATCTAATACAAGTGCTTTTTATATTTTTCTTTAGGTGGTGGTAGGACATGTTACCCAAGTTATCAGGTATAAGATCTAACTAAACCAGAGATGCAAGCACCTCGCCTTCTTCTACTTATGTCTGATATTTTTCCTCTGAAGTGGATCTAGAGAAACTCAGTGGTCTGCAGTTTTGTCCTGGGATGTCACATTTCTACAGTCTGTTTTTGGAGCATACTCAGATATGAAAAACAAGAGTTAAGATACTGTGTAAAACTTTTAAAAAGTGGGACAACCACTTAAAAGGAGCTGTCTACTTAAAAAAGATTAGTCAGCTTTGGTAATCAGAGACAGGGAATAAATAAATATATATATGTGTATATATTATGGCCGATGGCCGATATTCAGAAATCTACTTATTTCCATATAGGCACATCTGTTTCTCTAATTTTCTTTTTTAAACTACAGGGTTTTTTTTTTCTATTCTAAATATAACATATGGGTTGGTAGAAAGTGTGTAGCGGAAATAAAAAGTAAAAATGAAAGTAAAAGAAGAAAACAAGTCATTCATAATCCAGAAATAATCAGTATTAACATTTTGGTGTCTTTCTTGTGAATAGTTTTCCTGAATGTATGTACTATACATAATTTTTAAAGGAAATTGGGATAAGATGTTTATACATCTTATGTATCCTATTTTTTTGACTTAACATATAACATACAATTTGTTATTCCTTTAAATATCCTTCCCAAACATTGAAAAAAAATTGTTTCAAGATATCTGTTTACAGATGTACCAAAATTTATTTAACCATTTCTTTATTGTTGGATACTCATTTTTTTGCTATAAATATTTCAATAAACATCCTTGCATAACTGAACACATCTCTGATTATTTTCTTAAGCTCATTTTAAAAGTGGGATTACTGGGTTATTTTTAAGTGTCTTGTTGCATACCACAAAATGATTTTCTGGACCTTCCATTTGAAAATATTTCTAGAGTACTTTATCTACAGCCCTCTTTTTATTCATAAGTAATTTTACCTCCACTCTTGTTGTATTCCACTTCTGTCTTGCTGTACTTAACCCTTTCTACACTAAATTTGCATTCAGTATGTACAAATCTTAGTTCTCCTACTAAGAGATCATCTCTGACCCTCTTCATATCTCCCTCAACATCCAGCACAGGTAGAAAAATGGGGCAGAGAACTGAATCTATTTAGGTGAATCTATAAATAGAAGAGGAGCTTCATTTTGGGAAGGAGCAAGGCAAGTGTCTTGAACTCCATTCTTAGGAGTAGGGTTGCAACACCGATTGAAGGGGAAGCAATGAATTTTCCTCAACTCTTCATACATCCAGACTCTCGTAGCTGGGGAAAGATGGAAAACTAGTCAAATCTCGAGCCTGGGAAGCCTTACCTCCCTGGAAGGGCAGGGAGAAGGGCAGACACCTGGACGCCACAGCCTTAAGCTGTAGGAGAGGGATGGTTTCAGGCACTCACCTAGTAGAGGCAACTTACTTTGAGTACTATGTGTCAATCTTTTTTACACTTGATTGAACCACTACTAACCATCTCAGTCTCATAGGTTTTGACCTAGGGAAACATGCACAACACTGATTTTAGAGACTTAAATTAATTATTTAGATTGGAGATTTCCAAACTTCAGTTGTACTCTGCTTGTGATTTTAATGTTTTAGTGAAAAGAAAGCAGCAATATGTACAGACACATACACCTGTGATTCATACCATCCAAACCAGTCACACTTCTGAACAATTAAGACATATACAATTATTAAAACATTCAGGCATTTTTATACACCAATGATGAACTTTCAGAAAGAGAAATTAAAACAATCCCATTTACAATTGCCTCAAAAACCATAAAATACCTGGGAATCAAATTAACCAAGAATGTAAAAGACCTGTTTTCAGAGAATTATAAGTCATTGAAAAAAGAAATTGAAGAAGATACAAATAAATGGAAATATATACCATGTTCATGGGTAGAAAGAATCAATATCATTAAAATGGCCATATTACCCAAAGCAATCTATAGATTCAAAGCAATCCCTATCAAAATACCAATGACATTTTTCAGAGAGCTAGAACAAATAATACTAAAATTTATATGGAGCCATAAAAAACCCTGAATAGCCATGACAATCTTAAGAAAGAAGAACAAAGTTGGAGGTAGCATACTACCTGATATCAAACTGTACTACAGGCACAGTAATCAAAACAGCATGATACTGGCATGAAAACAGACACATTGATCAATGGAACAGAATAGAGAGCCCAGAAATAAATCCATGCCAATATGCTTACTTAATATATGACAAAGGAGGTAAGCATATACAATGGAGTAAAGACAGTCTCTTCAATAAATGATCTTGGGAAAATTGGACCGATACATGCAAAAAAAAGAAGCTGGACCGCCTTCTTACACCACATACAAGAATAGACCCAAAATGGATTAAAGACTTAAATGTAAGACCCCAAACCATAAAACTTCTAGAAGAAAACATAGGCAGTCAACTCTCTGATATTACTGACAGGAATTTCTTTTTGGAGATATTTCCTCGGGCAAGGAAAACAAAAGAAAAAATAAACAAATGGGACTACATCAAACTAAAAAGTTTTTCTACAGCAAAGGAAACCATCAACAAAATAAAAAGACTATTTGAGAGAACATATTCACTAATGATACATCTGATAAGGGATTAATATCCAAAATATATAAAGAGCTCATACAACTCAACAACAACAAAAAATCTAATTAAAAAATAGGCAGAAGACCTGAACAGATACTTCTCCAAAGAGGCTAATAGATGTATGAAAAGATGCTTGAGGTTGCTACCATCAGAGAAATGCAAATTAAAACCACAATGAGATATCACCTCACACCTGTCAGAATGGCTATCATCAATTAATGAAAACACAACTAATGTTGGCAAGGATGTGAAGAAAAGGGAGCCCTCGTACATTGTTGGTGCGATTGCAAATTGGTACAGCCGCTATGGAAAACAATATGGAGGTTTCTCAAAAAAATTTTAAAAAGGATACACCTTTTGACCCAACAATTGCACTTCTGGATATTTATCCAAAGAAAATCAAAACAATAATCTGTAAAGATCTATGCACCCCAATATTCATGGCAGCACAATTTAGCCAAGATACGGAAGCAACCTAAATGCCCATCAACAGATGATTGGATAAAGAAATGGAATATTACTCAGCCATTAAAAAAATGAAATCCTACCATTTACAATGACATGGATGGAGCTAGATGTTATCATGCTGAATGAAATAAGTCAGACAGAGAAAGAGAAATACCATATGATTTCACTTATATGAGGAATCAAAGGAACAAAAAGAACAAACTAATCAAAAACAAACTCACAAATATTGTGGAAAATTTGGTGACGGACAGAAGGGAGGGGGGGTTGGGGGCAGAGAGAATGGGGTGAAGGGTTAAAAAAGTACAAATTAGTAAGTAATAGATGGTCACAGGGATGGGGAGCACGGTAGAGGGAATGCAGTTAGCATTAATGCGATGGCTACGTGGAGGGCCAGGGGAGGGAGGGAGCCATTGAGGGGATTGTTTTACAAGCTGTATAGATGTCTAACCAATGTACTGTATACTTGAAACTAATTTAAATTAAATAAATTTTAAAAAAACATTCAGGGTGATTCCACGTCATCCTGGGTTGTAGTCCTGACTCTGTGCCACTTCTTTTAGCCTCATGCTAGCAATAAAAATTTTGAAATCAAAGGTTTGATGGATTAGCTGGGGTTTTTTTTGTAATCCACAGTAAAACTATAAAGATTACCATTACAATGAAAAATTGTTCCACAATCAGTGATATTTTTACTACCTATTGGTGATAATTGTACCATATTTTTCAGGAACACTATTTTAACAAAAGTTTCTTTTTATTATACTTAATTGTGTATGTTTCTTCCACTTAATCATGTATCATGGTTTATTTGGTACTTAGTACAGTGTTGAAGCTCAGTAGATATTTGTTCTTTCTTTGGTTTGTTTTGTTTTGGTGATGGGGTAGTGATCAATAGGAGTTAATCGTTGTACTAACGTAAATGAAATCGCCAAGATCAGGATTTTTAGGCTCACTTTGGCACCACATATGCTAAAATTAGAATGATACAGAGAAGATTAGCATGACCCCTGTACAAAGATGACATACAAATTCGTGAAGTGTTCTATATTTTTGGTGAATGGATTAAGAAGTACAAATGGCAGTTACAAAGTAGTCATGGGGATATGAAGTGCAGCATAGGGAATATGTTCAATAATATTGTAATAACTATATATGACGTCAGGTGGGTTCTAGACTTATTTGGGGGATTACTTCATAAGTTATACAAATATCTAATTACTGTGTCGTACACCTGAAACTAATATAATATTGAATGTTAAGTATAATTGAAAAATAAAAAATTGTTTTTAAAAGATCAGGATTATAAAAAGGAGAACAAAAATAACATGATAAAGAACGTTGCCCTGGTTAAATACTGTGCCATCATTATTTGGATTGGGGCCTTAAGGTGTTCAGGATGAAAAACAGTAAATCATTAACATTTTTTACCTGTTCTTCTTGGAATAAATAACACATTTATAAGTTTAAGAATTTACAAGTTTAAGAATTTATCTTGGGGCTATAAAACCAAGCAACATTATTTAGCTCACACAGAAATTCAACCCACTATAATGACTCAGGAACTAAGAGAACTCTTCCATACCTGCTAAGCACAGAGTGAAGTGTATAGTCATTGAGTAGTGCCTATTAGTTGAATGAGTGGATGAAACGACTTAGCTACAGTCAGGAGATGTTTACCACCTCTGGGAAACAATAAAAAAAAAAATATATAGGGAGAACTAATATTTATTCAGTACATAATATTCTAAGGTCTTTATATATGTCTTTCCTCCGGATTTCATGAGGCAGCTGCCACATGAGGGGAGGGTAAAATCATGCTGCTAGGGGACAGACACCTCCACCTATCCTGAACCAAAGCTCACCTTCTTTTCCAAAGACTATAGTGACTCAGTTTTCAAAGAAGATTCAAGACCTAATTTGATCCAGAGCTGGAGGGGAAGTTGTGAAGACTAATGAATAACCTTCTGACCAACCAAATACATAAATGACCAGAGGAAAGTATAAATGAGATACCAGAATAAAAAAATATATTAAGAGAGAGAGAACAACTCTAATGAAGAAAAGAAAGATAACTCAACACTTTAGTTACCTGCTAGCAATAGAGACATTTATTAAGGCCTGGTCAGTAATTTCCTCCTCCTTAGTCCTAACTTCTTTCTTCTTTGTGAACCTTTCTTTCAAATGCAGAGTCCTTAGCCTGTAACTCAGGATTGTTTAGTCCATCAACACATAAGAAACTTATTCTCCTGAGACTGAAAATGAGCAATACTGTTTCCTTAGCTACTATACATCCAATGGAAGTAAGAACTAGATGAAATGAAGAGAGAATAGCATCAGAAGACCTGGGTTGAAGTCCTGACTCTGTCAAGTGCTAGTTGAGTGTGGCCTTATGCATATTAGTGATCCCTCTAACTCATGATTTCCTTAACTCGTTCATTTACCAAGTATTTTATGAGCAGTTACTGTGTACTGAGCACTTCCCTGGGCATTAGAGATATAGCAATGAATAAAAGAGAGGAGATTCTGCTCTAATGGAGTTTATGTTCTAGCGATATTAGTAATCAATCGATAAATAATGTAACTTCAAAAAGTGAGCAGTGCTGTGGCAGAAATAAAACAAATGATAAAGACAAATTGTGAGGAGGGTTTCTATACAGAGGGGGTGCTCCCAGAGGCAGTAACATTTGAGTCAACACCTGAATGTACTAGAAGGAGCCAGCCAAGGTAAGAGGATTCCAGGCTGAGGGACCAGCAAACCCTGAGGTGGGTGCATGTTTGGGGCTCGATGACAATCAAGGAAAATGATACTGGTATATGGCTGTACTAGATCAATGGTTTTTATACAGTACTCCAAGTCATGCTAGAACTTCTCTGTTTGTTTTGCAGGAGTGGACAGGCCAAGGGTGGAAACTCTGCCAGGCTCCCACCATTCTGCCCAACATACACGGAGAAGCTCCTCTTTCATCTGAAGCATACATTGGGGTACTGCTTAAAGTTTTACTTGAAGAACATATTCTGTGATCAAAAATTCTCCATCTCAAAAGTACTTTGGCACTCTAATTGTCAGACACTACGAGAATTTATCACACAACCTCTGTCATCACTATAGAAGGATTGACTCAACTCTATTCAATAGACAGAGAGTCTGGGAGACCTGCTACCCTCCTCTCACCAGAGCACCCCATTCCCTCCCCTGTGGTGATGGACTGGAACCGCTGTTGATCTGCAAGCAGGGAGGGACGTGGTATCTCTGCCTCCTCCTAGTATATAATACTGATTTTCTTTTCTCGAATGGTCAGAATGAAACACTCTGTCCTACACAGCAGAGCTTTGTGGAGAGAGCTGAGAAAAGGCTCCAGTTTTTTTCCAAACTGTACTATACATAGTTGGCCAGCTACCTTATTTCTAACCCCAAAACTCATATCGTTCCTTGTCTACAGAGAACTGCCCGGCAGCTCTCAACTAAGTCTCTACTGTCCTGGGGTTTTGGGAAAAGCACTGCACAGAATGTGAAATCATTTTCTGGTAATATGAATCTAATTAGATCTTTGACTGACAAGAGGAAGCAGAAGCCAAGAGGAGTTTAAACAATCCGTTTTTCACATATTTAAAAAACAAGTGAAGAACCAAGCAGGGACTCGGAGTGAAATAGAGAATAAAGAGATAAAGCCTAGGGAGTATTTGGAGAAGGAGGGTGAGTAAAAAGAAAATAGGGGGTGGGGAGGGAGAATATCAAGTGATCAAAATATTAATCTTTTCTCCCCCCAACTTCACCTCTGTTCCCCTTCTCCACTCTCCTCTTTCCCAGAGAGAACTTACTTGAAGGTTGATGATTTCTCTTTCTGATTCCATCTTGCTGCCCTGAAGTGCCTTTGCATGAACTGGGTGCCGGTAACAGACTGTGTGGGCTACTCCAGGCTTTGCTGTCTGAGTCTCTACTGCTTTTTTTTGGCGGAGTGGGGGGGTGGGCGGGAGAGAGCACACAGCTGGCAGGACAGACCTGCTATTCATCCATCTGATGTGGGATGCCTGTCTTGGCTTCAGCCCCTGGGGGAAGTATACACATGTATACACGTGCAAGAGTGTATGTGTGTGTGTGTGTGTGCATGCTCGTGCTCCATGGGTGGCATGTGACACTTTAATAGGTGGCCTTTTGAGTTGGTAGTGACAGTGTCATTTTCTCCGGTGGCTCCAATGCCCCTCTAGTCCCAGAGGAGCCATCTGAGGTCACCCAGCCTACTTTGAGCTAGTGGCTTTACTACTGGTCCAGAAACCCTGCAGATTTATCAAGGAACTTGAAAAATAGCCCGAGAATACTGTCTGACCTCACATCAGTGGAGCTGAGAGGGTTCCTAGTCACCAAGGGTGGAGTGGCCTCTAGCGTATTCCCAAAACTGAAGCTTAAGGACTTCTGTTGTTCTTTCCTTTGTTCCTCTATCCCTAAAAAAAAAAAAAAAATTTAAATTGTAGTTTACCTAATAGGCCCCAAAGCATAAGCCTTATTCCACAAAATGAGTAAACAACCCATTGTTATTGACAGGTTGTTTGATGCCCTCATTTTCTCCCTTAATTAGCCAGAAAGAGAACAGAAAAAAGTTATGCCTTCAAATTCAGTTTATACAAGTAGTTGCATTTTCTCTGCTTTTAAAATAAAGCTCCCAGGAGTGAGTCTTTTTCTGAGAAGGTTTTTTTTTCTGTTGTTTATGTTAGAGGCTAAAACTCTTCTGGCTTGTTCCTGAAGCTGATTTTAGACACCAGCTTGTGTCTGAATGGGTGTGTGGGTATGTCTGTGAGTGCATGAGGTGGGCGGTGTTACAGGGGAGTGATCTAATCTAGAGTTTAAAGGGGGGAGGGGAAAAGAGTAGCAGAGTCACAGATTTACTCTCACCACATTTAAATGTGAAAAAAGGGCAATTTCTTTATTAAATGACCTAATGTCTCTATAAGTCCCACCCTGCTGGACAAGTGGTAAGAGGAGGGATGGACAATAGGATGAAGACTATATTTCAGTCTAACCTAATAAGCATTGTTGAATTTAATTTAAATGATAAACAGTTCAGTTTCAATAGAGTGCTCGGTTTTTCAGATTCCTACCCATCTTCCCCAAAGATGTCATCTAGGTGCACAGGAGAGCGGTGTGATTTATGTACGCTTAGTGGTGGAGGGCTGATGGCTCTTGGACATACCCTGTGACCTGCTCCTGGGCCCCCTGCCAGTGTTGGTGACCACTGTCTGTGGCCAGGAGAACTCATGGTACATTCTCTGTCTGCTCTTAAGGACCCAGGAGGCTCCCTTGCTGACTCTTATCTTGGCTCTCATGGTGATGTGGACCACCTTGAGACCTGCTATGACTCTTATGCACTCCCTTCTCGGCAGTACCAGCTCAGGGTTCCACACTTCTAAGATAATCCTCTCTGAAAATTCCTACCAGACCTTTGGCAATTGATCCTGTTCCACCTCGGTACTTGGGGACTGAGAGCTGCTGACAGTCCTGAAGAAAGGCAAGTTCAGCTTCACTTCTGGTAGAGTTGGCTTTGATGTGGCTGCTCCAAGTTGGTACAAGGACGGCCTTTGAGGTGATCTCCTTCTAGACTACAAAATGGAGGCGAGGTGTAGAGCCCACTCTCTTCTCAGCATTCCTTCAAAATCTACCAGGAATATCCACCACTCCCATCCCCCATAAAAATTGCCACTACATGATAAGCACTATTCTAACACTTTTGTACAAACTCACTTACTTTGTTCTCATAACAAGGTAGGTAATTCTATTACTCCTGCTTTATAGGTGAGGAAATAGAAACACAACTTACTGTTGGTCAGGCAATCTGATTCAGAGTCCATGCTCTTATCCATGATTTTGGCTCAGAGAGGAGAGATCGAGACACTTGTTTGGATATGTGCTTTCTCTTCCTCTACTTTCCTTCTTCCCATAAATCCTAAACTCAGAAAAGGTAGCCTTATCTACTCTCTCCTCCTGTTTGATTAGCACGTGCTTCTTGTGGAACTCTATGATAATAATTCAAAGCGGAGATAAAAAAAAATTTAGAAAATGCTCATTCTCAACAAAACCTGACTATCAAAAATATTGTCTTGCTGAGAAACCCTATTTTGAATGTCAGAAGCAAAATATTGACTATTTCTTTCTCTTTGTGTTCCTGTTGTGATAATCCTGATCGTCCTTTAGATGATATGGATGCATCTGGATGACTAGAGGGGAAATCAGAACAAGAAAATGCAAAAGAGAAAAGCCGTATTAATAAGCACACTGGTTTTAAAAGAAAAAAGCTGTAATTGGCTATAGTAATGGTTTTGGTTTGGCAAGATCTTTCTGGATTTGGACATTTCCCTACCTCATTAGCATCATTTGGAAATAAATAGCAAGCAGGATTTGGTTTAGTGACTGTGACTCTGGACCAGGAGTCAGCACATTTTTTCTGTAAAAGACTGAAGAATAAATATTTTTTAGCCTTGTGGTCCATACGGTTTCTATCACAACTATAGTTCTCAACTCTGCTATTGTAGTGTGAAAGCTGCTGTAGACAATATATAAACAAATGAATGTATCTGCATTTCAATACTTTATTTACAAAAAAAAAAAAATGTCTTGAGAGGTAACAGCTGACTCCCCTACTGAGAAGATAATACATTAAACACTGTTATGATATAAAATCACAAAATACATGCCCTTGTGAGACACATACATGGAAAGTTAAGCTAAAGTTGTCTTGAGAGGTAACAGCTGACTTCCCTACTGAGAAGATAATACGTTAAACACTGTTAGGATATAAAATCACAAAATACATGCTCTTGTGAGACACATACATGGAAAGTTAAGCTAAAGTTATGCTTCTGACATTTGTGATACTAAACCTATACCTATATGGAAGCTATCCAATTCAGATGGGAAAAGGCGTCTATTTCTCTTTATTGCTAGGTGACTTTTGCAGTGTGAAGCCCAGTTTTAGGGAAACTGCTTCTTGGGAAGATTTTTTAAAAAACATGCTTGAACTTATAAATAAGTAAACACTCAGAGCCACTCAGAAAGTGATCATGGAATAGGGGCCTAGAATGAGACCCTAGGGGCATCTTACTATGTAGAAGGCACAATGAGTTGTAGGGTACTGAAGAAGCCAGCAAAGAGACCTCTTAATGTCTAATAGTGAGAAAAGCCCTATGGTGGAAACCAGGCAACCTTGGTTCCTGGTTCCTGGTTCCTGTGTGTGCTGAATCACTGTGTGTTCTTAAGCCAAGTCACTGAACTATTCTGGGTTCTATATTCTCCTTTGTGAAAAGTAAAGCTGTCAAAAAAAGTGATTCCTAGGATTCTTTCAGCTCTTAAATTCTGTTTCTAATGTGTGTTTATATTAAACACTTCCCGTGTAACAGTATAAGGTCTCAGATTGAGGTCTGAATTTTAGTTTATAAAAGTTAAGAAATATTTATGTAATTAGAAACTTTATAGGAAAAATAACCCCCTTCTACTACCTCTGCTAGTGAAGATTGGGCAGGGCAGACACACGACAAACAAGGTAACGAAGTAAGAATAAAGGCATACTTCAGAAAATGCTTCCAAACTCATTTATGCTCATTTACACATTCATTTAGCGTCTTTCAAACTCACTGCTCCAGAAATCCTATGGCTGGGATGAATGGTAACGGGAAACATTTTTTTTTTTTGGAGGGGGGAGGGCGTGTCTATGGAGGGAGTCTGATAAGATGCCCAGGATGGCCAAAAGGATAATTAAGAATTAGATTGGGTGACTCTAGCACTATCCAATAGAACTTTCTGCAATGATGAAAATGTTATAGACATATTTAGCAACATTCCTTAGCAGAAGTCTAAAGTAGGCCTGTTCTACCTACAATGCATGGTAGTTTCACTTCTATAAATTCTCTAAAAATACTGCATTACCACTCTTTATAGCACAGAGAATTATTTTGCAGAAAAAACACAAATATCAATGATGCTAAGTTAAAAAGTCATTTAAAAGAGTTTGACTCAGTGTGAAGTTTTATGAATATGTTAATTGGTTTTATTTTGTTTTTCATTTATGTTTTATAAGAATGATAGCATCTAAAAGACCTCTTTCAATATGAATAAAAAATCTAACCGATAAAAAATGTTATGTTAAAGAACATTTCAATCTTCATTGTTCAGAATGGCAACCATTAGAGCCACATGTAGGTATTTAGCACATAAAATGTGGCTAGTGTTACTGAGAATCTAAATTTTAAATCGTGTTTAATTTTAATATATTTACATTTAAATAGCCAGTAGCTACCATGTTGGACAGTGGAACTCTAGACCAAAATTCAGTATATTCCAAACATTGTTGATTTCACATACATGTGGAATCTAAAGAACAAATTAACAAATAAAGCAGAAACAAACCCAAAGATACAGAGACCATTTTGAGGATTACCACATGGAAGGAGGGCTAGGGGGTGCTGGTGAAAAATGAGGAATGGATTAAGAAGTTCAAATAGGTAGTTACAAAATAAGCATGGAGATATAAAACATAGCTTAAGGAATATAGTCAATAATATTATAATAACTTTTTAGGGTGTCAGATCACTTTGTGAGTTTTATAGATGTATAATCACTATGTTATATACATGAAACTAATAGAATATTGTATACCAACTATAATTGAAAAATGAAAAATGTTAATAAAAAAAAAAAACATTGCTGTGCCATGGCCATCACTTATTAAACACTCCCATCCTGGCCACTCATCTCTTGATAGATGTTCATTAGGCGAAAGCCTAATTTGACATAAATAGGAACCCAGGGCACACAGCTCTCATGGGAATGCCCCCTGAGACCCAGGGATGCTCTTGGTTGTGGTAGGTAAAATTCCCCTTGGGTCTTTTGCATTCAGGGTAGGGGGATTTTAACTATGACTCACTGTTCAATGAATGATTAATAACAGAGTCTTGTCATGTTGATATGGAACACTTCTCACCTCTCATCTCTGTGATAAAGTTAAAAGGTGCCAGGCATTCTCTTGGTGGCTTAAGAAAGTGAGAGGGTAATAGCTGATCTCTTCTTAGTAGTAGGAGAAAGACATTTGTGGCTTTCAAACTTTTTAAAGCAAGGAAATTCTTTTCTTAAGTGAGATCTTATGCAGAAGTTAATATAAAACAGATTAAAGTAAAGCTGCTGAGACCCCGGAGTCATATCTGCTCCTGCTCCACCTGTCCCACCCTCTGTATTTCTCAAGCTATCCCTTAAGGTACCTCTAGGGAACCCCTTGA